AAGATTTATTTATTTTATTATGTATACAATGTTCTGCCTGCATGTACACCTGAATGCCAGAAGAGGGCACTAGATCGCGAGCCACCATGTGGTTGCCGGGAATTGAACTCAGGACCTCTGGAAGAGCAAGCAATGCTCTTAACCTCTGAGCCATCTCTCCAGCCCCCACAGGGTTTCTTTGTATAGCCTTGGCTGTCCTGGACTCACTTTGTAGACCAGGCTGGCCTTGAACTCACAGATCAGCCTGCCTCTGCCTCCCTGAGTGCTGGGATTATAGTCATGAGCCACTGAACCTCTGTGTGCGGCTACAAATGTTTTTCTCTAGGTTCTGTTGCTGGCTCGTTTGATTTTAGGACTAACCCCAGCGCCTTCAGCTACGTATCTGAGTACACGACTGACATAAAGCTACCTAGACATTCAGGAACTCTGTAGACACGTCTCTCACATGGCTGGGAAGAGCTTTAATTTACAAAGGAGTTGATGAGAACATGGCCTGGGCTGGCCAGCTGTCTCAGACTAACTGTCCCAGTAACTGTGCCAGAAGCTCCGCCTCCCTCCCTCCAACCTCCGGCCACTCCGCTCCCCCTTACACTAGAGCGCTCCTCCACAGGAGCATGGCAAGCATTGCTTCATCTGGAAGAATAGAAACTCCTGCTAAGACTTTCGGGGAAAGTGCCCATTTAGTACCTAACACACGGAAGTAGGGCTGGCAAGATGTCTCTGTGTGGCTATGGTACCTGTCACCAAGACTGGTGGTCTGAGTTACTCCAGGGCTCATAGTGGAACAAGAGAACTGACATCCCCAAGTTGTTCCCAGCCTGCACACACCAGTAGGACATGCATATACATACACACACCACACACACACAAACTCTCACACACATACCGCACACACTGTAACAAGTAGATACATAGAAAGAGTAGATAATTATGCTAGGCTTACTTCTAGACCGGAATCTTGGCTCCAAAAATTTTCGGTGTATGACCTTTGGCAAATTGCTTATCCCTCTGGCCTTCCCTTTCCTTATTTGTAGGAAAAGATACTATGTGCTGGGCACATCGAGATTACTGTGAGGGACAAACAGATAATAAGTGCCTGGCTTAGAACATATATTTAATAATGGCAGCTATCACAGGAACTTTGGTATCATCAGTAAATGAGTTTTTCATGCCTTTTTGGGTCTAGGGAGAGTAGTGCACCTGACCCCAAGAGTGCTCCCTGACCAGGTATGTACCTGAAGGCAACAGCCCGGCTGCTGGGCCCACGCACTGTTAAAGTTAGGAGGGAGTATGTGTGGCTCTGTGTTACATCCCTTGCCATTACTGAATCTCTAGATTCCATCCTCAGGACCACCACCAACAACAACAATGAGAAATTAAAAAAAACAACACACACACAAAATTATCCAGGTTGATGGAATTAATCCTAGCATAACGATTTCCAAGCTAGGCTCCCAACAGTCTTTTCGGTAAATGCTTACTGTTCACCTTTCTGAGATAGCATCTTGAGGTATAGCTAGACTGCCCTTCGAACTCAAGATCCTTTTGCCTTAGCCTCTGGAGCGCTTCGACTACCGTCACCTGCTGCCGTGTCTGGTTTACAGAAGTGCTTTTCAGTTGGGGGACTGGGTCTTGTGCACACTCGGCAAGTACTCTATCCCTGGGACGGCCCAGGGAGTATCTCCTTCCCTTTATCCAAGGAAACTAATCTCAACGATCGTTGGAGAGACTGTGCCACATCAGGCGCTCCGCTGCACTCAAGACTCAGAGATGTGTAGGGCCAGTTTGTTCTCCTCTCCTCCCCAATCCTCCCCTGCCCTCCGGTCTGCACCTTGTAGCTGTATCTACCCCAAATTCTCAGTGATCCTTCCTCAGCTTCCCCAGCGTTGGCAGCACAGGCTTCACAGGGATTGCATGAAATTTCTGTGTCCCTCCCTCCTGCCCTTCTGTTCTTTCAGCTTGACTCCAGCATCTGGGAGCACACCTCTAAGTCTGAATTTTTGCTCGGGGAAACAACTGTGTCAAAATTGCTTTATTTACAAAATCTCTAAGAACTGTCTTCACTATGCCATCTTCCCCCACATCCTCCAAAAGGCCCCTTAAACTAGTTGTTGCTAAGACCCTCTCTCCTCTTGGGTCATCCACCATTCCTCTATCTTTACCCCAGCTGCAGCCAACTAGTCCACACTGTTAACTGTTGGTGATCCCCGTTTGATGCACAAGGCTCTCATGACCCTGACCCGAGCATAGATAACTTCACAGCATTAATCTTCTGTTGGTTCACCTTACATTCCCATAATAGTTGCTGTTTGTTACTTCTAGTCATCTTTGGTAAAATTTTATAAGCTTGCATGAAACGTATTTTAACTTGTTCCGTTAAGCCAGCAGGACATGAAGCAGACAGCTCCTGGGCAAACGCCACTTTCTCATATCGAATCTGATTCTTGTTTTTTATTTTACTTTTATTTTATGTGGAGGATTGCAAGCACAAGCATGTATGTGTAGCACAAGCATGCCTGGTGCCCTGGTGTGGGCACTGGGGTTACAGGTGATTGTGAGATGCCTGACAGAGATGCAGGGAACACAATTTGAGTCCTCTGCAACAGCAGTATGCATTCTTAAATAAAAAAACAAAAAGCCTTTTTAAGATTTATTCATTTCTTGTGTGTTTAAGTTTTGCCTGAATTTATGACCCCCACAGGTGTCAGATCTCCTGGAACTGGAGTCACAGACAGTTGTGAGCTGCCATGTGTGTGCAGGGAACTGAACCTGGGTCCTCTGAAAGAGCAACAAGTGCTCTTAACCACTGAGCCATCTTCCCAGCCCTCCCAAGGTCTTCTAAAATCACTTTAATTACCTTCCTTCTACATTGTTAACACAGAGCACCAGATCACTGGACTCTCTGTGGAATGGAAAGTACCATCTCTGATGTTTGCACTTGGTCTTGGAAACAACTGAACTGTTATCACTTAGACGCCCACCCAGAAACGGGCAGGGAACCTTCTCTTCACTTTGGTGACTTAATGGTCATGCAGGAGGGGAGGTAGAAAAGATTTTGTCCATGCCATTGGTCCCTAAGAAGAAAGTTCTTTCTCAGCTCAGTGAAGGTAAATGATTCCAGGACTCTGGAAAAATATGCTGATTTCCCTAAAATCACCCAGAGTGTCTAGGCCAGATCAGTCATTCTTACTGTGATGTTACCATGAGGAGCTATTGCTCTCTCTCTCTCTAAGTGTCTGGGCTGTGGACAGATCAGTAGTGGCATCTCCCCTGGAGCTGTGCTTATATCTGAGTGCCCATTCCTTCACAGACTTTGAGAAAATAGTTTAAAAAATAACCCGCCCCCCCCCAAACCTTAGCATATAAGAAAATAGCCTCCGTCCATAAAAACCTGCATATATTGGGGGATGGGTGAGCAAAGCAGAGTCTAGAAGAAAAAGGGTTTAGGTGTGTGTGTGTGAACATCTGTGTATGAATCAGACGCTTCCCCAAGGGAGGGGGAGCAGGGAACGATAACCCTATCAGTCAAACTGATGAAAGACGTAGGCTCTGGCCTATTTATAGATTTCAAATTGGCCTGTGTTATACAGATTGCGTACCACTTTGAAATTCATTTTTTTTTCCCAGGGCAGTTGAGATAAAGGAAAGGAAAAAATATAACAAGAAAAGGTAATGTGAGCTGAGATCCTAACTATTGTTTGGAGATTTGTTCCCTCACAACATTGTGTGTGTCTGTATATATAGGTGTATGTATATATGTGTATGTATACATAGGGTAATTAGGTAAAATTCCATTTTGAAAAGGGACTGGTGAGAACATGGTCATGGAGTCAGGGTGGAGAGGTGAGGAGAATTGTCTGGATACTGTACTGATTTTATTTGCCTTCAAGGATGATCTCCAGTGTCACTGTTGCTCAGCTGCCAAGTGTCCCTGAGCCATTCAAGGAACACTGTTACATCCAGAGAAACTAGTTCATGGGCAGCAGGTCACAGTACGCCCTCACACAGGAACTCCAGGGAGAAATAACAGAGACACACCGGAGGCAGAGAGCCTTGTGGCCCTTTCCCTGGGGAAGGAGCCCTCTGCCAAAGACAGCAGACTAAAGGCAGCTGAGCCACCGCCCAGCACCCACCTCCACCTCCGTACCAAGAGAAGAGAGTCCTAGGAGTTGTCTCTGGAAGCTGGTGCCCTGCACTGTCCCTGTCCCGATCCTCCAGGCTCCTCTCCTAAAAAGCTTCTGAGCACACGTTTCGCTCAGGAAGGCTCAACTTACTCCCAGTTCCCTCTAAGAGCCTCACAGGGTCTTCTGTGGGTGTAACAGCCAGGTGGCTCCCACTAGGCAACCAGAGAAACTGCAAACTCCGTTTAGGGCAGAACATTAGGCAAGCCAGCTAGCTCTCCCTTCCATATTTTCCTCATCTATGAGAGAGTAGGAACAGCCCTGTCCCATGTATTTCCACAAGCGCTACATAGGATGGACCACAGCCTACAAAGAACCTGACATTATTATTACTGGGCTTTGCTATTTTTATTACACACCACGGTGCTTCATAACGTAAGCCAGCAAAATACTAAATATGCTTCAAAAGCGGGCTCGCAGCCTGCTGAGGGTGGCTGCATGAAAGCCAGTTAAAAACCCATGTGTCAGCCTGAATTAGGATCTGCTGGATCAGAGCTGCCCAGTGACAAGCCGGAAAAAAAAAAAAATCGTTACACTTTGAACAAATCCCGAGGCAATGCCCGGGACACAGAGCCAGGCTGGTTCCTGACTCTGTCTGTAATCCACGGCTCACCCTGGCTTGGCCCAGGCGATGTACCCGACATTCATCATCACTTCCACAGTTCTCACACTTAACCGGCGCAGGTGGTTGACCACACAAGCCACTGGCAGAGCGGAGCTGCTTTAGAGGCCTTGGCGGGGTTAAAGTCCCGCGGAGGACCCCCGGAGAGGGGACGGGGTGGTGCCCGGAGGCGGCGGCCGCAAAGGACCCGGACTCACCTACGATGATGCCACAGGCGCTGACCAATCCGATCTCTTTCTTCAGGGCTACTCCGCCCCCTCCCGAGGCAGCCTCGGCCTCGAGGCTTGTGTCGGATCTGAGCTCACCCGGGTGGCTCTTCGCGGGGTTGTTTCGGTGTCGGGCTCCCTTTTCCATCTCTCTCCGTTGGGCTTCCGACCTCCAGAAGCTTAAAAAAAGAACTGTCTCTTTCCAAACGCCCGTGCGTGTCAAGGTGTAGATAGGTGGGGAAAACAGAGTTTCCAATTAGAACGCCCTTTTCAGAGAGAGAGAGAGAGAGGAGAGGAGAGCGCTCCTACCCTCTAAAAGTGACAGCAGTCGAGGGAGACCTGTAAAATATTCCCACTCGGTACCGACACGTGTCACTCCTGCTCACACACAAGGGTGAGGACAGGAACATATATATATATATAGAGAGAGAGATTTAAATACAAAAATAAAACTGTACCAGCGACTCCAGCTGGAATTCTCGGGAAGGGGTTGTCTCCAGAAGCCCGGGACGGCTGTGCTCGGGGCACCGGGCGGCGGCTCGCTCTGGCCAGGGTTTCCCTGCAGCCCTCCTGATAAAACGTTGATCTCCTTCACCTTCCCCCGGGCTGTCTCCTGCGACGAGGGGAAAAGTAGTTCTCGCGGGCCGAAGGGGCGGAGGAGGAGCTCAGGTACTTTCTCCTTGCTCGCCGGCCCCGGGCCGGGCGTCCACCTGCTGCGGCCGCCCCTTCTCGCCCCTCTCCGGCCGAGCTCCGAGCTCACACCGCAGACCGCTCCATCGCCCGGTGCCGCTGAGTGGCTGCTGCGCTCGCGAATGTGCTTCCCTCCCGGCCGCGGCGTTTATGTGCGGGCCGAGGCTCCGCCCCCACCTCCTCCGCTGCTCGCCATCCTCAGCCGCATCGCCTCCCTCCTCTTCTATTTAAATGTTAGTTCCCCCCCCACCCCCCGAAGGTCACCGAGGAAAGAGCTTAAACCTCCCCCCCCCTCTCTTTTTTTCTTTTTTTCCTCAGTGGAAGCGAAGGAAGGGTCGGCCGCGGCGGAGAAGCCACCGGCCACGGCTGTATCTGTTTGTGAGCACACTGCAGGGGCACAGTTTTGCAGGCTTTTAACGCCTTCAAGAAATAAACTGGCCAGGGTACTAAAATGTTCGGGTGCGGATCATTTGAGGACAAGGTCGATCAGGCCTCCGGGATATCAACATAAAGCTGTTTCCCTGAAACTAGGGGGAGGTTTGGTGAAGGCAGTGTGGAAGGATTTGAGGCGGAAAGCGGTTCCCTTAGGGACGGACCATCGTGAAAGGTAAATAAAATCAAGAAGATGAAGTGGTTGCAACGGTCGTCCGAAGCAGGGTAAGAAGGACTCTGGCCTGGTTCCGTGACTCCTAATGTCTTAGCCACTCTTCGAACAGTCGAACTTTAGTTAGGAGGTGTGTGAGCCCCTCGCTGACCCCTCGCAGGTCTGTTGGTGGTTAAGAGATGAGCAACCTTTGAGCATATTGACATTTTGACATTTTGACTCCGCTTCCCTGAAGAATTTAAGTCAAAACTGTTGCTTCACTTCAAGAGCAGTGTGTATTTCTAACTCTAAAGCACTTTGGGAAAACAACATAAAACAGTACTACAGACAACGTTGAAAAGATTTGTTTGTTTGTTTTTGTTTTTGGGTTTCTCTGTGTAGCGTTAACTGCCCCGGACTCGCTTTGTAACCAGGCTGGCCTGGAACCCACAGAGATCTGCCTGCTTCTGCCTCACCGAGTGCTGAGATTTTTTAAACATATTATACAAAATGATTTGATTTTTAAATAAGCCTTTAAACAAACAACAACAACAACAAAATTCCAAAGGACAGGGTGGCATACACCTTTAATCCCAGCACTTGGATGCAGAGGCAGAATGATCTGAGTTCTAGGCCAGCCAGAGCTACATAGTGAGATAGCATGTCAATAAAACAAACAAAACTCCCTAGTCTGACCACTGACTACACTAATTTGGCTTATTCTTTGGGAAATGTCCTAAAACACCTGGGCTTTCCAAGAAAATGAGAAACTTAAATCCTTTAAAAAACGGGGTTGGCTAAGCTATCTAGAACAGCTTTTCCTGAAGGGACAAAGTCCGGATCAACAGGTTCCTTTCCCATCTGCCCCTTGATCGCCCAACTCAGCAAGTATCAAGAGGTTTCAAAGGTTGAGATCTCAACCCCATCTCCTTCTGTTGGTTCAAGATATAGCAGATTGAAGGCCTCAGGAAAAAAAAAAGTGGGGGAAAATGGGGGTGGGAGCATGTAAATCATTTTCAACAAAAAGAACAGACAAGCTTTGGAATATATAGCACAAAACTCTGTGGGAGGGAGCAAGGAACAAGTCAGGGGAAAATGAAGAAGCTGTGAATTGCCTCTGGCCTTTCTTGACAAGCTTAGAAAGCATTAAGGGAAGATTTGATGAATTCATTATTGAGCAATTCAACTTGAAGACTTCTGTTCAGATTTCAACATCAAGGGATAAAACCTCTCTGCTTCTCACATGTGAGTTCTTTCCGTAATATTTTGTAGCTTCACTTTAAATGGTGTAGGCTCAGTATGGGATTAAAACAAGCATGTGATGAATTTGTGATCTCTCCAGAAATGAGTGTGAATGACCAGCAGTGTGTAAGCTTCAGTCCTCTCAATTTATGAATCTGGAAAATAAAGAAAATGATATGTTTTATAAATCTTAAACCAAACAGATTTTGAGCTACAGTGTAGCACCAAAACAGAAAGGGAGGCTTGTGATAAACTGATATTTCCATTTCTTTAGTACTTGAAATTTATGAGTGGCTTGCAGCTGTTTATTGAAATATGAAAGCTAGAAAAGGAAACTTCCTCCTTCAGAGAGACCTTTAATTTTATATTATATGTCTCTAGGCTGGTGACATTTTTTGTGGCATAAATGCTGCAGGTGTCAAAAAGTCATACAACTAGTCCTGAACACAAGAAAAAAAAAAGAAGTCTTGGTGTAATATGTTGAGAAAAAAAAATTTGTGAAAAATATTAAAATTAAATTTCTTACATTTTGATTACTATAGCTCTGGTCCACATTTACCTTTGTATTTTTTACTTTACTCTTTGTGTTTAAACAGTGCTTTATGGCTTTTCTGAATAATGTCTCATTTCCCCCTCCCCATTAATTTTTTGAGACAGGGTCTCTCCATGACTAGCTTGGAACTCACTATATAGCATAGGTAAGACTGGTCTTGAACTCATAGCGACCTGTCTGCTTCTGCACCCCAAGTGCTGGGATTAAAGGTGCACAGCCCCAAGTCTGGCTGACAAAACCAATTTTTGTTTTCTTGGTGTTTTTATTTGTTTTAGACAGAATCTCACTATGTAGCCCATGGCTGGCCTAGAACTTGTTCTATAGAGCAAGTTGGCTGGGATTAAAGGAATGTGCAACCAAGCCCAGCTAAACCCAGTTGTTCTTAAATATTTATTATCCTGTTGCTGAAGGTCAAACACAGAGCCTTGCTAGACAAGGCTGTTCCACTGAGCCAACCCCTCCCCGTAACTTGTATTTTAAGGATTTTAAAATCCTAGGCTAAGGCTCAAAGAAGTGTCTTATTAGAACAAACACCGGGTCCGATCAGGGGCAACTGGGTTGTCCCTGGTTTCCACCGAGCTGCCTCAGGCTATGTCGGCGTCTCAACTCCCTTCGCTTGGAGAGAAATGGACTGTTTTATGATCAGGATCTTCTCGTGTTTTGTCGCTGGTCGTTTGGGATACGGTTGTGTTTTGTAGCCCAGGCTGGCCTCGGGGTCATCTGGCCTCAGGACCCTGTGTGTTGTAAGGAGGAAGGACGTTTGTTGGGCAGGTGGTTTTCTGAATACTTGTGATCCTGGGAAGAGAAAGGCTGTGTGTGGCTGACACCTACTGCACGAGAGAGGCGATGGCAGGGGGACATGCTACTGCAACAGGTAGACACACTCGCACACGTGGGCTTCTTTTTTTCCATATATATTTTTTTAACCAGTCCTTTGGGAAACAACTGGTAAAAAAAAAAAAGTGTTAGTTCAAAAGAACAGAGCATGAAACCAAGCCACTCTATTTCTGGCTTTGTTTGTTTCTGGATGTTACAGCACTTTATTCTGGCTCACTGTAAGGGAGCTGTGACATCTGAGGTCACTAATGAGGGACCTGACGGCTTCCGCTGAGCCAGTTCATAGCCCTTGCTGTGCGCCTTTCTTACACAGGGCTGTCAAAAAGCCAGAGGGAACCCTTCTTCAAAGTGAAGCCCACAGAGTAGGCATGACAGCTCGTGCCTATAAACCTAACACGCAGGAGGCCGAAACAGAATTGCTGTGAGTTCAGGACGATCTGCCTGCAGTGTAAAACCTTCTCAAAGAGCATAAATAATTACGTAAGTAAATAAAATTAAACCCATGACTAGGCATGCCATAGGAGCATGGGTGTCTCAGCACTGGAGAAGATACAGCTGGGGGATCATGAGGCCTAGGCTACAAAATGTGTTAAGTCAAGCCTAGGATACACATCAAAAACCCTGTCTCCAAAATCAAGCAAGCAAACAAAACAAAACAAGACTGGAGAGATAGCTCAGCAGTTAACAGTACTTGCTGCCCTTGCAGAGACCACAGGCTCAGTTCCTAGCACTGTGTGGCAGGTCAGCAGCACCTATAACTCCATTTCCAGGGGATACAACGCAGGCAAAACACCCATACACATAGAATAAAAATCATTTTTTTAAAGCATACACATCTCCCCAGGTGTGGTGAACAGCACCCTGGAGGTAAGGCAGAAGAAATGGCATCTCCAGGCCAGCGTGGGCTACAGGGTGAACCCTGTTCCCAAAGACAAGGACACAGTTTGCAATTCAGCCCTAGGGCATCTGCCTACCATTTGCAAAGCCCTAAACTTGACCTGCAGAATCACAAAACAAAACAAAATCATTGTAGAGATAAGGCTCTTTATCTTAGGCAAACACAATAAAACTTCTATCCAGTTGTGGTAGAAGTATCTATATTTAAGTACTCAGGACTAGAGTCGCCTAAATCCTTAGAAGGACATAGGGCCCCGTGACAGACTGGGTGCAGTAGAGGAGTCTAGGAGACATGGCCTGCAGCAGGGAACCTGCTGTGTTTCTTTCCCACCAGAGAGGGGCTGGTTTTTGGAATCCGGCCAAGTGCAGCAGACAGAGGGATAATTTTCTGGAATTTTTGTCTCAGAGCAAGGGCTCGTCTACTCCACAAGGGCAGGAATGAATTACCCATCGTGGCAACACAAAGGCGTTCTCAGGACCGCTTAAACTTCGGAAGAGGCAACTCCCTTTGAATGTGGTGTCATGCCTAGGAGGCAGAGGGGGACTGCCAAGGGCCTAGCCAAACGTCAGAACCTCTTCATTTCCCATTTCACCTTTCTTACTAGCTGGCATTTGCCTTTTCTTTTTACAATTTTTCCTCTTAATTTTCATCTGTTTTCCCTCAGTAAGTAACCTCGGTGAGGTTTCTAGAACTATTGCCTCAGAGAGTTACCAGCTAGCTGACTGTAGACCTTAAATCTTATTCTTTAATTAATTCATTTCTTTTTTGGGTTTTAATCTTTTTTTTTTTTTTTTTTTTTTTTTTTTACATTTACTGATTCTTTTTCGTGGGGTGTGTAGAAGTCAGAGGACAACTTGCTAGAGTCTGTTCTCTTTTTCCACCATGTGGGTTGCAGGGATCAAACTCAGGCTGTTTAGCTTGTTGGCAAGACCCTTTGCTGGCTGAGCCATCTCACTGACTCAATTTCTTTATTCAGAAATAAACATTTTAAAAGA